GTACTAGACATCTCCTTCATACAATGCATTTTAAAACTACTTTTTTTGGCCCTGCTCTTTCCATTAAAAGATGCTTGCAGAAACTTCTCTGATAGAAACCTTTTTTTTTTTTTTTTAAGGCTGAGAATGTAGGGCTGATCTAACCAGTTCCCTAAATTCTGTTCATTTATATCAGTGCTAGATTTGCCATCTCTTCTGAATTACTTATCATACACAGACTTGTCATTGTTTTCTATTGCTAAACTTTTGGGTAAGCATTTGTGTTGCAGCAAGAAAATGTCCGAATAGCCCGTGGCAACGGGAATGGCTGCAGGACTTGTGCATGTTCAAGAAGCACCCTTGTGTGATCTGGGGCTGTCTCGTTTGAAAACAGAAATGCTGTCAATGTCTGATTGTCTGCCTTTAAAAAATGGCCTTGTACTTCAAAGAGACCCACCCCTGCATCCCCACTCTCCCAGATACAGAGATACTTAGGTTCATTTTCCTGTCAAATAAGTGACAAAACTTGGGTAATTTAATTGCTTCCTCTGGTGCAGTGTATATGTAGTCAAACACTTCTCAGAACAGCCACTAAATTCTGCTTTGTTTACGTGCTATTTTTTAACAGTTATTGCAGTTCTTTCTTGTAACAGCAAAAATGAAACATTTGGGGAAAACGTTATGTTAAAAAGTGAGAGAGAAGTCTAATCTTCCCTATAAGGAATGTAAAATGGAGTGTAATTAATATGATGGTATTGTCAGTTTCCATTTTGCACTGCCTCTGCTGTACATACAAACATATATTTGCGTTTATTTGAATAGTTTTGAGGCACTGTCTGGTTTGCTTTACAAAAGGGGTATCTTTTGCAGAGGATATTGTCTCATGAACACTTCCTTTTTCTGTCAGGATGGTCTCTACCAGAACAATGTTGTTCTCAGTGTTTTTTTTTTTTTATCTTGGAGAAACAAATGTCTGATTCATTTTTCTAGAAAAAAAAACAGGAAACTGAAAAGAATACAGACTGGAAAAGAAATTCATGCTGTTACTCACAATTTAATTTATAAAGTTAAAAAGTAAACTGAAATTAACTATTTGACAGATACTATGAGGATGTTACAGTTTTACTTTTCCTCATATTATCTGAACCTTGTGTAAAGATCAATTTAAGATGAATTTGTAAGAAAAAAATAAATAGGAGATCAGCAGTATCAGCAGTATTTCAGCAAGTAGAAGTTGATCTGTGTGTGGTAGGTAGGTCTCCTTGATGGAGCCCCTGGAAAATCAGGTTGAAGCGTTTCTAGCGGCAGGGAGCAGAGTGCTCCCGCCATCTCAGGGGCAGATGTCCTGTCCAAACCCTCACGCCTCAGCGGCGCTCCGAGCGCTCAGGGCTCTCTGCTTCCACGTGCCCTTGCACCGCAGCGACACGCTGGGCGCTCAGGGCGCTCTGCTTCCACGTGCCCTTGCACCGCAGCGACACGCCGGGCACTCAGGGCTCTCTGCCTCCGCGCACCCTGTTTGCCTCCGCGCGCCCTCATGCCTCAGCGACACACCGGGCGCTCAGGGCTCTCTGCCTCTGCGCGCCCCGTCTGCCTCCGCACACCCTCACGCCGCAGCGGCACGCCGGGTGCTCAGGGCTCTCTACCTCCGCGCACCCTGTTTGCCTCCGCGCGCCCTCACACCTCAGCGGCGCGCCGGGCGCTCAGGGCTCTCTGCCTCCGCGCGCCCTGTTTGCCTCCGCACGCCCTCACACCTCAGCGGCACGCCGGGTGCTCAGGGCTCTCTGCCTCCGCGCGCCCTGTTTGCCTCCGCACACCCTCACACCTCAGCGACACGCCGGGTGCTCAGGGCTCTCTGCCTCCGCGCGCCCTGTTTGCCTCCGCACACCCTCACACCTCAGCGACACGCCGGGTGCTCAGGGCTCTCTGCCTCCGCGCGCCCTGTTTGCCTCCGCACACCCTCACACCTCAGCGACACGCCGGGTGCTCAGGGCTCTCTGCCTCCGCGCGCCCTGTTTGCCTCCGCGCGCCCTCACACCTCAGCGACACGCCGGGCGCTCAGGGCTCCCTGTCTCCGCGCGCCCTGTCTGCCTCCGCACACCCTCACGCCGCAGCGGCACGCCGGGCGCTCAGGGCTCTCTGCCTCCGCGTGCCGTGGGTCACGCAGAGAGGCCATGGGAGGGCCGTTCGGCCTCCGCGTGCCGGGCAGCGCAGCCCCACGCTCTGCAGTCACTGTCTAGTCGTCGTCGAGGAAGCGATTGAGGTAGTAGCCTCATTTTTTTGAATATGCAGTGGATTTGGCCACTTACACACTAGTCTTTACTGAACCTTACCTTCATTTCTATTCTATTTTAGGTATATACCAAATAAAAAGAATGTCTTACAGTCTGAAATGTGTGTGGGGAAAGAATTTCTAATGTATCATCAGCATCAAACACAATCCTTGGAGCAAATACTCAGTACAAGTGTTTCCATTCTTACATGACAGGCATTATTTTACCTTCTGAATTTACATCTCTTGTTCCAGTTGAATCCATGACTGTTTTCATGCTAAGTTATTGTTTAAAGAAGCAATAACTCTCACATGTCTCTGAATTAAGTTGACTTTATGTAACTTGTGTATAAGTAGAGATCTACCAAAGATGTCTGAGTATAAGATATATTTTACATGATGGCCAGCTTCACTGGTGTTACTGTTGTTGGTTATCTTATTTCTGTCTGAATTCTAGCTTAATTTTGTAATCCTAAAAAAAAAAGTCTTGTCTGTAGTAGTACTAACAGTAATTAAGGGTAAAATACTGAGAAGGTTGTATATGCAATTCCTAGCAATAATCAGATGATTAGGTGCTGTATATCACTGTCTGTGCTTACCTTGCTGTGCATAATCTGGCCCTTCTTTCCCACTCCACTCTTAGATTTGTTTGCTTCTTTATTTGTTGATTTATTTTCTGCTGGGACTTACAGCATCACAATATGACACTGTCTTTTCATGCCCTTTTTTTTTTTTTTTTTTCCTCTCTACAGTCAGTGTAATAAGCACTTTTCTGTAGCTTTTGTTCGTCTAAGTCTCATTTCAAATTCTGGCCTTCTTTTAAAATGCTTGAACTGGGTAGAGTGAGCAGCAATGCAGAACTGTCACCCTGCTTCAGCTGAGGTCAATTAGCAGTTAGCAGACATTATTTCTTTATTTTGGAAAGGTTTCATTTAGCCAAAGACTTGGTCTTTTAACCAGATCTTACTTTTCATGTTTTTGATGGCAAACAACTGTATATTTCAACCATGTGCAAACAGTGACTGTCTGGCAGGATTTCCTGGATACGCAGTAGTTGGAGGTTGCAGAAGGGCAGTTTTCTGAACTCTGGCCATTTGCATGGTTATTTGTACTGCCTTTCTTTCCATGGGAACTAATCAGCTCATTGTATGGAAGGTAGAAAAGGGGTTTCCCGCCCCCTCTCCCCCCCAAAAAACTATCCACATCCTAGCTAGTCACCTTCATCACAAACAGTAAAGAAATAAAAGTAATTGAAATGGGATACCTCCTGACCTCTGTGTATTATAACTTTCTGAAGTGCTGGAGCCAATATTTTCAATATTTTGGGAGACAGAGTTTTGTGAGAACTCCTGAAAATGCTATTTATAACCCGAATCCGGCTTTTTTTAGTAGAGTGAGGTGCTGAGGATCTCACAGCACATAACCCGTGAGGCACATAACCCGTTTTTGAGCAGAACAAGATGGAAACTGGTGCTGACTGAGAACTGTTTTTTTTTTTTTTTTTTTTTTCTGTGTTGACCTTTCAAAATTTAAAGCAAAGCAGTAATAAAAACAAGTGAATCCACAGGAAAAAAAAAAAAAAGAAAAAATTGACCAATTCATTTCCAGTGAGTCATTCATTGGAAGAGGTAGTGGAATGTTTCTCATGTTCATATGCCATGTAAAGGATGAAGCCTTTGTTACATGTTTTGAGGAAGCCCCTAAATGGGTAATTCTGGGATAGTAGAGAAGACAGCTTTGCGTTTTGCTGATGAGAGCCAGGTTTTTGACACTGCTTTTCATAGGCAATTTTTTTAAGTCCTGAAAGTGAGGATGTCTGTTCGATATGAGGAATCCTAATGGGTTTCTTCATAATCTTAGCAGGAGGAGAAAAGAGCAATTGCTCAATCTTTTTTTTCATTGACTGCTGCCCCTTTTCTCGCCTTCTGAGCACTTTTGGAGATGGCAGCGTTCTGCTCTTCTGGCTGTTTAGACTTCTTCCATTTTCCTTTCTCCCCTGTTTACTGGTCTCATATTCTCAAGTAGTGATGTAAACCCCTCAAATAGAGGAAAAAAGATGCAGCCCTGATACATTCCAGTTTATTGTTTTTTTTTTTTTTCCGTATTGATTTCAGTGGGTCATTTTTTTACCCAAATAGATTGATTTTTTTACCCATAGAATTTTTGTTTTGTTTTGTTTAAAGGGGGATATTGGAGATATCCCAATGCCCTCTTTCTCTGAGTCTATTGCCTCAAATCTTATTTTTTTTAACCATATGAATGAGATAGCAAAGTTTTGGTTCTGGTGGTTGTTGGTTGGAAGTTTCTAACCCCCCTTGCCCTCCCCAGCTGTGGTTCTTCATGACAGCTGATCTGCACGGTCAGGCACCGAGACCCCCGGCCAGGAGGCCGGAGTCTCAACCCCGGTCAAAGTGATCAGGTCGCGCAGCTCTTTCAAGTAACTGGATGTTCACGTCCCTGTGTCTGTATTACACATTATCTAACAAATCTTGAGGTATATCTTTAGTTTCCAACCCATAAGTTTTAAAATATGCATTTTACTTCAGAGCAGGTGCCATGCCGACGCCCGCGACGTCGCTGCCGCTGCAGCCGCGGGGGAATCCGCCTGCTGCTTCCCGGGATGGGCTCTGCAAAGCAAGTGCAATGTGTTGCGTCGCTCTAGCAGTTTGTGGGTAAAACTTTAGAGTTTGTTTGTAGTCACAGAGTCATTCTTGACAATTTTCAGTAACTACAAATATTTTCTTAAACACTGAGACATTGTGGGGAGTTGAAATTTAAAATGATCCTACATACCTTGTAGCCCCCATTGCTGTAGATCCCCATCCAAGTAACTTTTTTTCAGCTGAATATTTATGTCTGTGATCAGGAAGACCATATGTGAATGAAGCTTCTTTGCTAAACTTTTTTTTTAATTGGTTATATTGTAACAAAATCTTAGGAGCGAATGATTTTGCAAAAGTAATTAAAGCCTTTACTGACAAGCCGTGCATCTTGTTTTGAAGAATTATGAATGTTGGGCATTGGCAGAGAACAAACTGCTACCATGACAACAGAGAAAATTCATTTTGGGGCCTGGTTTGGTCCTGCCTGTCTGTTGCGCTGAAGGCATCGGCGTTTGCACTAGCGTCTCCAGAGTGCTGCCTCCTCGAGGCAGCGAGAGGGAGGCGTCCCTGCTGCCTGGGGGCTCCTCACGGCGCTGGGGCGCGCGGGCCGTGCGTGCGGCCGCCGGCGAGGCCCCGCTTTGCCTCAGCGCGTCTATTCTGAGTGCTGATTTTCCAGTGAAGGAGAATTCTCTGAGAAGTGTATTCCTCAAGGCTGTTTGTGTTATCGTTTGGAAACTCTGACCAAGCAGAACAGGAAAAAAAGGGAGCCTGTCATAGGAAAAAGTTAGAACAACTGCTGTGCATTTGTGGAAAGAAATTCCAGGGACTGTGGTAATGCTGTTTCATTGTGTTTTTAGGAAATGCTGATTACTGTACAATCCCAGAAACAAAAGGTAGGCTAGATGGAAGATGTGCCTGCTGTGATTTCAGACTGGGAAGTAGTTTGTTTCTGCAACTGAAAGCCTTTTATAAAAGTGTGCTTGAAAATGTCACAATGATCTGAAGCTGATAGTAGTTTTTTTTTAATTACAAAGAGCAGACAATCCATCACAGTTAGTTAAGTAACACAAACATCGGAGTTTTATTGGGATTATATACATAATGAGTTCAACCTCATTAATCCTCTTGTCCAAAAGACACTAGTACTAGAGAAAAAAATCTGTTTCTTTGTGTACCTGCAAAAGGTTCAGTTCTCTGGAAACATTAATGGTCATTTTCTGACACAGGGAAAGCAAAACATGAAATAGGGATCTGGGATATGCAGGATATGTTAAAATAATTAGTGTATGTACAATACAACAATTGTCCAGAAATGCCAGCTTGGTAGAAAAAGAGAATATTTATTAGATAGGGCTGCTACTTCTTTTCTTGTTATGAAGCAGTTCCATTTTACATTCCCTTCATATAAACTCTGATTACTTAAAAATGTGTTAGCTTTCCACAGGGTTTTTCTATTTGTAAATATGAAGAAGCTTTCACATCAAAACATGAGTATAGCCCTCTAGCCCAAGTGGAAGAAATGTATTTATTTTTTCATTTTTAATCTATTTAACAGTTTCATTAACAGAAAAATAACATTTTCTGTAATCAGAAAAGTCCCTAACAAGGGAATATTTTGCTTTCAGATTTTTACATCTATATCCAAATAAAATAAGCATGAATATTTAATAGAATCATTGATATGTATCTTTAATTTGAATGGTACAAACACTCATCAAGCAAACAAATGCATTGAAACAGTTGTATACACTAAAAACTCCTGCAACAAGTTATATATAATAGTTTCATTCAGTGTTCTCTCTTCTTTCTCTTAAGAATTGGGATTTCATCCAAATTCTAAAGGTTAAGTTGTCAATAGAACTGAAAGGGTGTTTTGTTTCCATTTGTATAACTAGTTTAATGTTTTTAAGTCGGCAGCGGATACTAACAATGGCATCAGTCGCTTAGGGGAAGCTTAGCACGACATTCCTAAAGTTCTCCTCACAGTAGCAAACACTGTGGAAACGAATTCAGGAAAAGAGCAACCCTTTTCACCAAAGAAGTTATTTTAATTAGAACTTAGCATAGGCTAATAAATATTCAAATTATTAGGTAATGTTCCGGCTTCTAGATTAGAAATGACAATGGACATGCAATAGGAAAGCTATGTTCATAGCTCAGTCAGTTAAATAATTACACACACTGTGTCTCCTTGTTAAAGTTTCATGAAATTTTCATGAAATGTTATCAGTGTCTGACAAAACAAGTGCCATGAATGTTTTTAGCTAAATCTGTAAGCTGAAATACAGAACCTTCTGCAGAAATGAATTGTTGAGCTATTGAATGTTATAAATTTCTGCAGTTTCAAAGGAGAAGTGAAAGAGAAATACTGATTTTTATGTATTTCTGCATGACTAGTGATATCATGGAAGATAAAAATGTATTTCTTTCCAACTTTGAAATTAAACAAATAGTATAAGTCAGATTACTAGCTTTAAATGTACTCTCTTCATGTGAATACCATGTATACAAACACTTTCTAAAATATTGTTAACATTTTTGTGTTTGGAATGAAGCTTTTTTTTTACTTTCCTGATTAATAGTGAATAATGTCAGTAGTTAATTAAAATACTGAACTTAGAAAATAATATTTAACTTAACAACTGTTGTGGCTGCCTACCCCTATTTTTTCAAGGATATAAATAGGGGCCACCCGGAGTGCTTTGCAGCAGCTGGAAATGTGGGCTTGTGGGACACTCGTTGAAGTGCCCATGAGTGCTCTGGGAATGCCCTAAGAATAGACAAAACCTGTTACTTTAGGAAAGAGGAGCTGTAAAAGTTTGTTGTGGTGAAAAGTTTGTATAGCATTTCAGCGTGCATGTTAGTATAGCATTTTCATCTGCCTTTCCCATTCCCTCCTCCTCTTTCAGAATCACCAGGTCTCAAGTGAACATGAAATGGACTGACGCTAACCCCGCTGTTTCCAGCTGCGCGTGCAATGGCGGCGGGA